GTCACACACAAAGGTTTTGGAATCTAATAGTATTGAACTTCACTACAATCACCTGGAAGCTAGAAGACAATTGATGAATGACTTCAAAATGATGAAAAGGTATTTCCAATGTTAAATTTTATATCCAACCAAACTATAAAATGTAAAGATAGAATAAAGATGTCTTTTCATACTACAAAAATATGCTTCCTGCCCTGACTGGTGTGGCACAGTTGTTTGGGCATTGTTTCACAAAGCGAAAGGTCATGGTTTGATTCCCTGTCAGGGCACATGCTTGGGTTGCAGGTTTGGTCCCTGGGGCAGGGAGTGTGGGAGAGGTAACTGATTGATGTTTCTCTCTGATAGATCGATGTTTCTCTCCTTTTTTCCCTTCCCCTCTCTCTAAAATTAATACATAATAGCTTTTTTAAAAATGTGCTTCCTATGCACTTTTTCTCAGGGAGCTAAGAATAAGTTCAACCATATTAAAGAAAGAAGACAGGAAATCCAAGAAAGTAAGGAATTAGCATGTAAGAGAGGAGGAAGGAATTTCTAAAACAATAGTGGAGAGAAATCCCTCTATAACAGCTGTGCATCAGGCCCATAAACAACAAGTCCAAATCAGAGCAAGAGGTAATTGTTCCAGGAGGGATGTAGCCAAGATTAAAATGGGTCTGAGAAGTAGCTTGATAGGGAGATCATACTGGTAAGTCTGTAGCTGAGTTAGTGATAGATAAAGAGTCAAGCACACAAAGTGACAAGGCAATTGTTAATTCCAGGAATCAAAAAGTTTACAAAGACATATAATCACAGTCACAGTAAAATATCTCACCTAGGTGAATAGGTGAATAATATTCACATATATCTAATGCTTTATACTTTAAGTACTTTATTTAATTAAAATTTTTGAAATAATTACAAGGTTGGAGCAAGAGGAGAAAGAATGGTGTGAGAGAAAAGAACTCAGTCCTCATCTTCCATGGGAATAAATCAGTAGATAATATCTACAACTTTTAAATGAAGAAATCACATTGTCATCTTGTTACTCAGAAATACAGAAACGAAGAGATAAAGAATATATAGGAGTTGAATGGGATTGCTTCTGAAAAAATGACTCAAAAGTGTGGAGAAAAATTATATGATGTTATTAGCTAAAGTTACCTGAGTACATTTAATTTAAAAAACTCTTTTTAGTTGAGAACGTTTAAAAAACTGTGGAAGGATAGAACAGTTATCTGCTTTTTAAAAATTTTTTGGTTAAAGATTTTATTTATTTATTTTTAAAGAGAGGTGAAGGGAAGGAGAAAAAGAGGGGAAGAAACATCGATGTGCAAAAGAAACATTGATTGGTTGCCTCTTGCAAGCCCCCAACAGGGGACGTGGCCCAAAACCCAGGTATTTACCTCGACTGGGAATTGAACTGGTAACCCCTTGGTTTGCAGACTGGCGCTCAATCCACTGAGCCACACCAGCCAGGGCTGCTTTGTTTTTAAATAAACTATTTTACTTTTAGGTCTATTACATTTACATATTGAAAAATTAAAAAATGTGAAAACCATTTTATTTTAAGATTATTATATATTTTACATCATATTTAACTAAAGATACATGTAAACAAAAAAGAATGGGACTCTTTAGTTTATTGTCTTTTGACATTTCCCCCTAGATGCCACTTCTCACCTTCCTTAGAAATATAACTATGTACATTTTTGCAAACTTAAATACATATATACTCTTTAAAAGATCTTATTTATTTATTTTTAGAGAATAGGGAAGGGAGAAAAACACCTATGTGAGAGAAACGTCTCCTGGTTGCCTTCTCTACCCACCCAGACTAGGAAGTGAACCTGCAACCCAGGAATGTGCCCTGACCAGGAATCAAACAGGCAACCTTCCTGGTAACCTTTTGTTTTGCGAAAAGATGCCCAACCAACTGAGCTACACCAGTCAGGGCTAAATAGGTACTTCTTCACAGCTTTTCATCTTGGCTTACATAATTGCAGGCAACATATGAAAAGAAAAAATGGTTCTGTTTCATTTTGTTATAAATAAATTATAAATTAGGCATGTGAGCATTTAAAATATATACCAATAATATACCAGTAAAAACTACCAGAGCTATCAGAGGAATTACAGGTTTATCTAAGTAGGATTTTTACAAAATGGTGATAGGTTATTATGTGAGACGCATGTTTATGGTTTCTGGTCTGTAAATGATTCATTCATTCAAGCTACTCAAATTACACAACTTTACAACTCTTCTTTTTATCATCAAGGCACCATGCTTAATTCTGAATTTCCTGAAATCTGTAATATTCTCATTTGCATGTATTGGCCTTAAATATTATAAAGTGCTTACTTAGTCCAGCAGCATATATCTTAATCTGATTACATTTGCAACTGTTTTTCAGGGAAAATTTAAATTTTTTTTTAGTTCTCATATAATATTTTAATTACAAGTATCTTACTGAGATAACTTTTTGACAGTTTCATTGTCTTTCCAGATTAGCATATTTAAGAAAAAGAGCAAAAAGGAAAGTGAAAATTGAACATGACAAGTTATTAAAGGGAAATGAAGTAAAGATAAAAAGGGGAAAGTGAAGTATCACTGGACATTTGTTTAGAAGAAAACAGATCAACTATAGATTTCACAAATCAAAAGTTTTTAAATTCAATACACTACAAATCCTTTTCAATGTAAAAGGTTGAAATTAAAAGGTCTATAAACTGTAGGCCTTAAATAGTACCAATTCTTCTGATCAAAGCAGGCCACAGCAGTTAAAATTGTATTACTTGATTTTATTTTATACTAGGTGGTGGGCCCAATACAATCCTCCTTAATGAAGTTGACAATGAGCTTCACTCAGAACATTTTTAATAATGCACATTAAAAAAAATTGTTACAAATTGTTCTGCAATCCAAATACACAATACCTTGGAAAACAACGTTTAGAAAACAAAAGCCAATGTAAAAAGACACTGAAACAACTAGAACAGTACAAGTTTTATATGGCTTTGATTTTACACTTTTCTTACTGCATCATCAATGTCAGAAATCTATTCCTTCAAATGCTCCATTGCTTGAGATTGAAAGAAATGCCTTTTCTTCCTGGCTTTATTTCACCTTTTGGATTCATCCAATATTCTCGAGTATGAATTAGGAATTTTCTTCTCAAGACTCGAATGTCGATGTACCTCATTTTCTCAATTTGAAACACGTTATCATCTCTGCTGCTGCTGCTCTGCTTACAAGATGACAGGGCTCTTGATGTTTCACCAGTCATTTGCTTCTTTACAGGTTTTCCTGAAGTAATTTGCTTTTTCCCTCTTTAACTTTTTGTCAACTTCATTGTCAGAATTCGCTGACAGAAGAGCTTGAAGAAACAAGTTGATACGATTTAGGCATTGCTCTGCTCCTGCTTCGTAACAGCCCCGTGCTCGCTCACTCACGACCGAGCGAAAAAACCCTCTAATATGAACAACAGTATTTGTTGCTTACGGATTGGAATTATGTTACTGAAAACCAAAACACAAAACTCCTAAATTCTACATTCTATATTCTAATAAGCTTTCCATTACCTTTTCTAATTTTCCTCTCTTCCAAGAGCTGGATAAACATCATAATATTGTTGCCAATGTAAAAAGGTGGAAGAGGTTCCATCTTCTGCATTCTCAGAAGACCATCCTTCCCAAGTAAGTATTACAGATACAGCGATAAGCCTTGGCCGAGTGGCTCAGGTGGTTAGAGCATCCTCCCGGACATCAAAAGGTTGCTGTTTGATCAGGTCAGGGCACATACCTGGGTTGCGGGTTCCATTCCCTGACAGGGCGCATTGAGGAGGCAACCCATCCATGTTTGTCTCTCACATCTATGTTTCTCTCTGTCTGTCTCTCCCTTCTTCTCCTTCTAAAATCAATAAAAACATATCCTCAAGTGAGGATTAAAAAAAAAAGCAGTAAGAAAAAAACCACTTGACAGTAAAACCCATGCTTTTTCTCTTATTCACCACGGCATCTCCAGTGCCAAACACAGTATCCAGCAATATACTTGGTCCTGAAATGTGTTAAATGAGTGAATTAAACACTACTTTGCAATTTTGTCTATTATCTAACCGAAAGAGATTTTAAAAGATTATTCTATTAGGTATCAGGCATTCGTACGTCTGACCATGAAGGAAGAGCTGTCCTGTTAATTTTTGTATCCCCAAATCCTAGAAAATATTGAAGGATTAAAAAAAGGAGGGGAGCCCTTGTCTGGAACAGCTTTGAATAGCACCCACATCCATTTTGTCACCAACAAAACTTGCAGCTTACTCTGTCCTCTCTAATAATTGCATGGCCTTAACAGGTGTCAGTTCAAATTGGAAAACCCACTTTTTCAGGAACAGGCTCTTCCTACTCAAGCAAAGTGAGGCCAAGTTAACAAAACCGCAAAGACTTGGCTTATTCAAGAACAAGCTGATTTATTATTGTTGGCGCAAACTGCCCACTTTTTTTTTTCCTGCGAAGGTCAATGTCTACAACAGCACTGACGCCTCATGTAGGTCGGACGTTTTCACCCGTAGCTTGTGGGAGCACAGTGTTTCTCAGCCAAAAAAGAGGGAGACTGGAATTCGTGCAGCGTAGTAATCCAGACACCTCAAGTTGATCCCAGCTTTTAAAATGTGCGATTCGTAAGGAATTCCTTCAATTTTCCATATTACAAGGTGAGGAAACAAATCTGAACCCTCCCAGGGCGAGCTCTTTTCCAAATACAACAATCACCGCCAACTCCTCATCTCCGAGTCCAACGCTGAGACACACATAACCCAGCTCTTCAGGATCTCTGCCAAGTTATAAGCAGGCTGCCTCGCCTTTAAATAAGCCGGTTGTGGTCTAGCTGCCCCGGAGTTCAACTTCCGGTCACACAGTGAGAGGATGTTTTCCTCCTGACCACGCCCACCACGCCACGCCTTCCGAGCGCGCACTCCGTTGGGGCCGCTCGGTTCGCCGTCACCCAGCAGCGCGCAGGCACGCGCAGACACGCCCAGAGTTGGTTGACCACGCGACGGCGCGCGAGCGCGTTCTCGGTGCCCTCCCCCGTGACGTGCCAGGCCGAGGCTGCGCTAGGGCGCTGTAGCTGCCAGTGCCGCTGTTATGGCGTCGGAGGTGCTGGCTGAGGAGAACCCGCCGCGGTCTCTTTAGAGCAAGGGGCGGGCGGCTGGGTATGGAGAGCGGCCCCGAGAGCCTGCAGCCGCTAGAACACGGGTTGGCCACCGGGCCAGAGCCAGGGATAGCTTCTCCGCAGGAAGGACAACAGGAGACCAGGCTCGCCGCTGGGGACGGTCCCGAAGTACGGGCGGCGGAGAGCAGCGGCGGGAATGGGCAGGGGGCGGTGGCCGCCGGGAGGAGCCTCCCGGACTCGGTCTCTCCCACTAGCGCTCCGCAGGTTCCCGGACCCTGCAGCTCCTTACGGGGTTTGGACTTGCAGGAGAGCGATTTGGAGAGTCCTGCTGCCCAGAAGGTGCCTCTGAGAGGGCAGCACAAGGTGACCGCTTCCCCTGAGACAGACGAGGCCGGAGCGGGCCATGGGTTGGGTCCTGCCGGAGACTGGGGCGCACGGCCTGATCCCGCCGGCACCTGCCGGCCAGAGTTGGTGGCCGCGGGCTCCGAAGAGCCTAGCTGCGCCGGCGGCCTCAGCAGCAGTTGCAGCGACCCGAGCCCTCCCGGGGAATCGCTGAGCCTGGACTCCCTGGAGTCGTTCTCTAACCTGCATTCTTTCCCCAGTAGCTCCGAGTTCAATAGTGAGGAAGGAGCTGAGAGCAGGGTCCCCGAGGAGGAGGAGGAGGAGGGCGGCGCGGCGGTGTTGCCCGGGGCTGTGCCTCTGTGCACAGGGGAGGAGGAGGACGGGGGGGAGGCAGCTCAGGTACTCGCGGCCTCCAAGGAACGCTTCCCGGGACAATCTGTCTATCACATCAAGTGGATCCAGTGGAAGGAGGAGAACACACCCATCATCACCCAGAATGAGAACGGACCCTGCCCTTTGCTGGCCATCCTCAATGTTTTGCTTCTGGCCTGGAAGGTACATTGTGCAGCTTCCTATTTCCTACCGCTTTGGGGGAGGAGGTAAACGGGGTAGGGGAGCTGCTACATACCAGCTGATGGCTTCCCCCTTTCTTTCCTCATTCATCAGTTCCCTTTTCTTATTACATGAAATTCACTCTGGGACTCCATCGTTGAAAGAATTGCTGGCAACCTCAGGTCTCTCTTATAGTGTTTAAATAAGAGTTTAATATACTTACAAAAAAAAAAAATAGGACTTAGAGTATCCTAAACCCTACGATTATTTTTAAACTGTATTTTCTATGTCCTTTCTTCTTACTGACTTTATCACATATGCAAAAGAATTAATAATAGGGGAAAATGATTTTCAGAAGTTATCATCAATCCATGATGTCAGGGACCAAGTCCTAATGGTTATGTTTAGTCTATTTTCCAACTCATGCTTGCTCCATTTGGGTGTGGATACTTAAGGAAATGGTGATAGGGAAGGTGGCCCCTTAGACAAATTCCATTTAAGGAAAAGCATTGGTTTGGGACCCAATTACCATAATTTGTTGGTTTTCAAAGATTATGTTTTCTATTTATGTATGATTTTTACTTGCCTCATTTCTTTGGCTCTTCTTAAATAGTTCCACATTATCACCGGTAACCATACATCAGAATGTGTTAAGGGAGCTAAAATTGTAACAACTAAAATAAGAAAAGATATATTCAAGATAAAGGAGCGTAAAAGGGAAGGGTCTTCAGAAGTATGTTGAGGACTCAAAGTGAGTTACCTATAAATGGAGTCTTATTTGAGCTGGCAGTTTTAAGATGCTGAGAAGATACATCTCATAGCATATTTTATTTTCAAATTGATAATTATGTCTATAGATAAAAAGTTGCCTAGAGAAAAATAACCTGGAGTATTCTGACCAGTTAGGGAAAAAATCAAGTTAAGGAAATAGTACTGATTACATGCCTTTGTCTTCCTATTATTGCAAAGGATTCATGCAAAAGAAGGAAGATTAGAAACCTTACCAGTATCTGGTACATACTGGCATTTGCACATTTTCCCTTAAACCTGTGCCTGCTCTTAAAGAGCTGTCAAGCTATTTGGGGTTGCAGCACTTACTTACTTGAAATGATTAAAAAACAATGCAAAACAATACGCTATAAATACTAGGTTATAGGAAACAGATTGAAATGCATTAGGTATATCAAAAGGGAAAATTTTCCTTTGGTCTGGTGTAGTCCCAGAGAACTTCATGGAATTTTTGGGTCTTGACCCAAGCTTTTAAGGAAAAGTAGAATTTAAAATAAGAAGGAAATGGAATTCCTGAGAGAGAGAAAAATATAAACAAAAGGGGGAAAAATAGAATGGAGTGTGTGTGTGTGCATGTGTGTGTGTTGGATGATAGGAGTAGTTAGTTCCTATTAGAGAATAATAGAAAATAAAGTTAAAAAGGTAAAGAAGAGCCACTTGATGCAGGCCCTTGAATATTAGATTAGAGAATTAGACTTGATCCTATAGTCCAAAGTTCCCCATCTTTTTGTAGGAAGGTTATAATAGTTTCCTTTAGGCTTGTCTTTTTTCTTAATTTCTACATAGTATTGCAGAAGTTCAGAGGAAGGAACAAGGACTATGGAATATTTGGGAATAGATGAGCATTAAACTGAACCTTTGAAAGACAAGACTTCAAGTGAATGATCAAATGTGTGAGGTCCTAGAAATACAAAAACCAAGTAAGATGAAAGTCTGTCCTCATATAGTTCACTATTAGTGGGGAAACAGGCATGTGAATAGTAATTATGGTGCAAAGTGAGAAGTTTTAAATGTGCTATGGAATTACAGAGAAAAGGGTAATTGGGAATGTGATGTGTCAAGAGAAAGCTTCAAAGAATTGGTAACCTATGAAGTAGGTCTGAAGAATGAGTGAGAGAAGGCCTGCTAGGCAGAGGGAATAGTGTACTCAGATGCTGAAGCAGAGAAAGGTCTCTTACTTGGGGAGTACAGTGGAGGAGGGAAAGACAATGCAATAACAGAAAATAAAATTAATAGATGGGGTTAGACTTTTAATAAGCAGGCATGCTAATGAATTTGGAGATTATTTCATAAATCTGTGGTTTTAGCTTTCTGTCTCCAGGCTATTGCTGCATACAACAGTTAGTAATCATCAATGATTGGGACAAAGATTAAAAGAATCAAGGTCAGATAAAGGAGTCTTTTTCTTTTTAAAGATTTATTTATTTATTTTTAGAGAAAGGGGAAGGGAGAGAAACATCAATCAGTTGCCTCCCATATGCACCTCAACCAGGGATGGAACCCACAACCCAGGCATGTGCCCTGACCAGGAATCAAACCAGCAACCTTTCACAGCCAACCGAACCACACTGGTCATGGCTAGAGGGATGTTCTTAAAGTGAGCTATGGGTTTTATAGGTCAAAACCATTTTCATAGTAATACTAAGACGTTATTTGTCTTTTCACTCTCATTCTCTCACAAGTGTCAGGGGAGCTTTCTAGGCTCCATGATGTATGATGACATCATTTCTCTGACAGTTAATGGAACATGTGCTTGTGTATTTTTGTGTTTGAAATTTTCTTCAACTTTCATTTTCAGTACAGTGAGCATTGATAGGTAGAACCCACATAGACAAAAGCTCTTTAGGGTCCTCAATAATTTTAGGACCGTAGAGGGTCCTGAGACCAAAAAGTCTGAGAAATGCTATAGCACAAATGTAAATAGTGTGTAAATAGTAAATAGTATGTAAAGGTAGTTGTCAGATTTCAGAGGGCCCATCACTGGAGGTATTTAAACTTTATATGTACGTGATAATAGGGAGCCATTATAAATTACTGGACAGAGGAGTGATATGGTGAAAGTGGTCTTTTTGTTTGAGATTAAACTAGAAGTAAAACTACAGTGAATGTTGCAGGAAGATTTGATGAGGATAGCTCTTTTGGATGGGGAATTCTTTGCCCTTTTTCCTTAATGTCACAGCCTAAATGATGAATTGATCACAACCTGGATATAGGAGATGAAAAAGATGACACCACTTTTTCTAACCTGGGCAATGGAGGTTTTTGGGGTCATTCAAAAGATAGAGGAGGTGCTTTGTTTTTTAAAATTTAATTTTATTCATTTTTTATCCTCACCCAACAACATGGTTATTGATTTTAGAGAGAGGAGAAGGGAGGGAGAAAGAAAGGGAGAGAAACATCAACATGAGAGAGAAACATTAATTGGTTGCCTCTAGCACATTCCCCAGCTGAGACCAAACCTGCAACCTAGCCCCAACTGGAAATCAAACCGGCAACCTTTCAGTTTTCAGGACAGCGCCCAACCAACTGAGCCACGCTGGCCAGAGCTAGAGAAGGTGTTTTAGATGGGAAAGTTGATGTAAAAGTTTGATTGTGTCAGGTTGCAAATGTCTCATGGGACGTAAAAATATGTGTTCATTATGCCTCTAGAAACATGGACTGAGTCCCAGGAAAGAGGTCAAAATCATAGAGAAAAATTGAATTGGGGAAATATTACATAGGTATAAGGATGGTAGCTGTGAGAATAAATGAGAGTGGTGAGTAATTGTCAACTTTTTCCACCCCAATATGTGTGAGGAACTACAAATTGCCAGCATGAACATCCTCTCTATCTTCTCTCTATTTCCTCACTTTTTCTTCCACCCCATTCTTTAGTACATACAGAGAAAACAAAATAAAGAATAAACTTTTTGGGGAGAGGGAAATGCTAAAAAGGGAGAGAGGGTGTAAAAGAAGTACAGGTACAATTGGAAATGTGAAGAAGAACTAGAAATAGGGAAATGTCCTGATAGTAGTCTGGGAGAAAAACTGTAATAAAAAAGTAGTTATCATTGTCAAATGCAGCAGCATCATGGAGCTGGTGGAGTAGGAAAAAATTTGCCAAAAAGGACAGGCATGAGGACAAGGCCCCTGAAATGTCAAGATAATACAGACTCCTCAGAATAGGTGGTAAAGTTCTCTTCAGAGGAAAGGGAAAAAGAGTCTCATTTTCTGAAGTAATGGAAGGAATTGGCAGGCAGATACAGATGCATACAAAGACAAGGTTACGTTAAGATAGAGAGGCAGACGGAAATTGAGGCCTCATTTTCCATTTTGGCAGAATAACAGTTGACCTCATCAGTAATAACTATCAAACTTGTCAGCAATTAAGGAGGAAAGAGGTTGTAGAGCATGAGGGATTGGTTTTGTGAGAAGAGTACATTGTATTTTAAATAAACTTTAATCTCATTGGAGAGTGTGCCTAGGAATTTGAAGCATAAATAGGAAGTAATGAGTAGCAATGAATGTATTAGGGTATTTTTTAAAAACTTCTGGTATATCAATTTTAGTTTATTGTTGTCCTCGGTTTTTTCCTAGTAGTTCTCTTATACCTGGAAATAGGAGCCGGAAGAATGGCTAGTTAGGGTTATCAGGGATTGGGCTTTTTCAAGCAAGGGTTGATTCACAGAGAGTCGGTGGAATTAGAGCTGAAAGTAACACAGTTGATCATTTCTATTGAGAGGATGAAGTAATGAGAAAATCAATAAACAACATTGGAAGAAAGTGAGTGATTCAAAGAAAGTAAACACCGTGGTTCTGAATGAGGAATGACAGTTGAAATAATCAGAGTAAGTACTGAGTTGGAACTGTTGGAGTTTTTATTAAGAGTGTAGGCTTTGGACTGATGGAGAGTAGGTAGGTGATCGTTCATTATGTATAAAATAGTTGAGCTGTGATCATCCAACAAATCAAGAAAGAAGGAAGGCTATTCATTAAATTAATTTAAGCCAAATTTCTAAGTCTTTTTAACTGACACCAGGTTGTTTACTCAAATTTATCTCTTGGAATACATTTTCAATTTGCTTCTTTACATTAGACTATATTTGGTGTTTTTACAGTTTTTCTTTAATTTTTCATATTGGTCAAAAACAAAGTCATTTATAGGTATTTTTGAGGTCTCTGACCCATATAATTAGATTAATTAACTATAAAAATCAACAGGTCAGAAGATACAT